GCTGGTCCACTTGGTGAGGGGGCCGCTCCAAGACTCGAGTCCAGCACCAGGGCCAATCTGCAGGCCTAGGTGATTAAGGAAACTAGAGATCTGAAACCCTGACCAGGCAGGGAGATGGGTTTCCAGCCACTGCCTGTAGACACGATCAGTCCGTGGGGGAAAACATCCGACCAACGGGACCAACACACACTTGCTGATTTTAAAATCTGGCTTGGCAACACGCTTACAAGCCTGAAAAACAATGTACAGCTTCTTCAAAGCTGAAATCTGAGACAAGACACTACCCTTGTCATCTGCACAAGCCCTCACAAGACCCAGATCAGGACGTTCCACCAGCGCCTCGAAGTGGCAAGTGAAGGGGCGTGATGTAAGCGCGAACAGCATCCCTGACGCGGGACAACCCTGGATGATGCCCGATCCGATAGCGAAGAGAACCTTGAGATCCCCGCCGATACTCCCCATGCACCAGACATCCTGATAAATCATCCCCAGAAACTCGAGAAGCGGACCAGGAAGTCCGAGAGTGCCTAGTACTCTGAAAATCCAGTCGTGGTTGGTGATGGACGGGAAGGCCTGTCCAAAATCGAAGGCCGCCAGCACAGGGAGCCTCCGAGCGACGTCATCCTCCATCGAGGTGATGCGGCGCATGGTTTCTAACTCGAGCACGTTCTCGCCAAAGTTCCGAAAGGGAATGAACCCCCTCTGGCTCTGGTGAACAAGGCGGGGAAGTTGGCGAGTGAGAAATCGGCAGCACACTTTAGTCAATATCTTGATGTCTGCATTATTTCGTGCGAATGGCCGGGTTTGGCTAGCATGTCGGAGAACCTGAACTTCGTCCCCATCCTCCTCTCCTTTGGCGAGGAAGGCTCCTCGAAGTACAATACAGCCGTATAAGAACGACTTACCCTCCTCTTCATCCTCCCCAAAATACTACTACTAGTATACAACTACTACTACTACTACTACTACTACTACTACGACTACTACTACTACTACTACTACTACTACTACTACTACTACTACTACTACGACTACGACTACTACTACTACTACTACTACTACTACTACTACTACTACGACGACTACTTACCAACTACTACTACTACTACTACTACTCTACTACTACTATTCATCTACTACTACTACTACTACTACTACTACTACTCTAACTACACTAGACGACTCTACACTTACTACTACTACTCCTACTACTACTACTACTACTACTACTACTACGGACTACGAACTACTACTACTACTACGACTACTACGATTTCTACTACTACGAACGATACTACTCTACTACTACTACTACTACTACTACTACTACTACTACTACTACGACGACGACGACTACTACTACTACTACTACTAAACTACTACTACTACTACTACTACTACTACTACTACTACTACTACTACTACTACTACTACTACTACTACTACTACTAACTACTACGACTACTACTACTCCTTCTACTACTTACTTCTTACTACTTACTACTTACTACTTACTACTTACTACTCACTACTTA